GGCCCGGGCCAGGGCCTGGGGCTGGCGGGCCGGCGGGCGACGGGCCACTCCACCACTTCCACAGCCCGCACTTCCGTCGCGACCAGCCTCAGCTGCTCGTTCACCTCAAGAGGCTCACCAGCGCCAACAAGGCCAAGCTGGCAGCCGGACTGGAGGTGCCCTGTCGTCCGCCCAACCGCTTCCAGCGGCTCCTCATCACCTCAGCCTCTGCCTCCGCCTCCGCTTCCACCTCCCCTCTGCAGCATCAGGACCCGCCGCCCCAGCCCGCAGGGCCCCGGCCAGAGCAGCATGGTGAGTTTGTAGCACCTGAATCCTCGCTCTCCATCGTGCACGTGGGCAGCAGGGAGCGAGCACCGTTTCTGCAAAGTCCCAGGACTAGGTCACATCACCTGCATCATCCTCACTAGCACTTGCATTTCCTCTGGCAAGAGGCCATAAGCATCCCCTGGTCTGTGTCTGGCTACCAAAAGGACACAGGCTTTAGGTTTACTTTCCAGTCCTCTCCAAGAGAGTGAACCCCAAGAGTTAACCTACTTTCATTTACTTCTGCCTAGTCTCTCCGCTGTGATCATCTAGAATAAGCAGTCCATTATCGACGCACCGGGTGGGAAGGGCCGCCATTGTCTGGCCATCAGAACAGGCACTCTACAGTTTCCAGTGTGTAGGAACAAAGTCACCGCCAAGAAAACTTGAGGCATTAACCCAACCAAGAGAAAGGGGAGCAGGTTTTGCGCGTGGAAATTTGTTCTTGAAGCCACGTACCATCTTCCACCTATTGAGGCATCTAAGAAATCATTGAAGTATCAATGAGAAGTCATATTGAAAGTTCCAAGAAATATATAGAGCAGTAGACACTGCTTATATATATCTAAGGGGCAAGCTTTGCTGCAATGTAGAAACAATTCACGAATACTTCCATCCTAGCTTATCAGAGCTTGATGCCTTACTTGAGATGTTACTGGTGGGCAAACATAAGGCAAAGTAGTGAAAGCCAAAACAAAACAAAAGCTAGATGTCAAGATTTAGTTTAAAAGAACTTTAGAAAGCACACATTTATAGTTTATTGATTTTTCACTATTCCTGGTCATTCAGGATGGGGGAGGAAACTGAATATTTAGTGAAAAATTCAGAAACCTTTGGTCACAGTTCTTTCATGGACTTGATTAGAGCTGTCTTTCTGCTGACACACGTGAGGGTGACCTTTTTTCCTTGCTCTGTATGGCGGCCACAATAGACAGCTATACCAAGGAAACAGCAGGATACACTAATGGGGATTTGGGATTCTTTTTTTTTCTCACCTTCAGATAGAAGAGTAATAGAACCATTTTCAGACTGTTAGCATGGGTAAACATAAAGAAGTCTGGGATATTTTTGAAGCATGGGAAAATTTAAATGTACAAATAACATTATGGTTCCTTTAGTCTAGGGCCGGTACTGAAGCAAGTCTGCATTTAGAATTGGGAAGAGAAGAGCCTAGGTTTTCTGTTTGTGGAGTTTAGAAGATGAGGAACTAGGTTAGAGTTCTAGTGACAAGCTGAGAAAATGACAGTGGCATGGGAATGTTCTAAAAGAATTCTAAAGGAAAAGTGAGCTGCCTCGGTGTGGTGAGCCTTGATTTAGTTGGGGAGAGGGGCAGTAGAGACAGTTCTAGGGAATATGTGTCTTGGTAACTCCAGCTGGAGTTGTTGGTTCATTTTGTTTTGTTTTTAAAGTCTTATTTCTAGAGGGCTTAAGGAAAGAAGACAGGGAAATAACAATCTCAGGACAAATTCTCTAATCTTTTCCCCTCGTCTCTTCTTTTTGTTGCTGTTTAAAATTGCACATATTTACCCATGTATCCATGCACATGCATGCTCATGATGTATGGCATGGGTGTAGGGGTCAAAGGACAGCTTGTTAGGAGTCTGTTCTCTTACTTTTCTCAGGTGAGCCCCTTTGTCTTATTTTCCCAGTTTTATTCATAAGGCCAGTGTCGAATTTGCTTAAGAATTTTAAGGATTATTTATTGAAAAATTCATGCTTTTTCAGCATGGGGGTATGCGAATGTGTTTTCAGGTATCTCCTATCTCTTCCTGCTGTTGTGTACAAAAGGATGCTAGCCATTGCCTATACTTAGTGCAGCAGGCAATTGTGTTACGGGCTGCCATGTAATGTAATTCTTTTGTAGTTCCAAGAATACTGTCGCAATTTATTTCATTCTATTCTTGGCACTTCTATTTTTTCTCACCTTTTTTTTTCCATTTTAATTTTCGAACACGAGGTCTTGGTATGTAGTCTAGGTTGGGCCTGACTTTGCAATCTTCCTGACTCAGCCTCCCAAAAGCTGGGATTACAGGCATGTACCACCCTGCTAGGCTTCCCACACCTAGTTTTTATTCTACTTGAACTTGTCTCAGTTATATGGCTGCTACTTCCAGCCTTCTAAATCTTCCTTAATTGTAGAATAGTCTACTTAAGGACCTAGTCTTCTAATTTAGATCCACTAAGTCAAGAATATACCTGATAAGAAGTGTGGAGATTGTGTTTTCCTCTTTCTGTAGTCCATTTATATTATTTTCACTGGCAGTTTATAATATGTTATACTGGTCAAATGGAGTTTAAAGTCTGGGGAGTAGATGCTCTTGTATGAACACGAGCTCTCAATAGGCAGATTTGGGGATTCTTTGATGGAAATGGCTAGTTTGGTTTCACTTAAAGGAATAGAATCTTTAAAGTCAAAAATCCATTGTGCCCTGCATTTCTAGAATTCAAATATTGCCAAGTATACCTTGAAGATGTTCTGAAGACACAAATATGATGATTTATGTAGTTGGTTAAAGAGAGCCCTATTAGCTAATTCTTTTTAAAAGAATAAAAATGAACAAATTGTGTTTCCATTCTTTAAGAAACAAGTTGAAGTAATGACTCCCCCCTCACAGTTTTGGGTGTTATTTTTATTAATACTTAGAAATTTTCATCATTTTGTATTTTGATCGTATGCATCCCTCACTCCTCCCTCTAACTCTTTCCAAATCCAGCCCTGCCAGCTTTATTGCCCCGCTTCCATATCTATAACTGAGTCTAGTTCCTACAGCTCATGGACTCACTCAGAGTATGGGGCCATCCACTGGAGTGTTATTGACCAATTGGGGCCACACACCCTTAAAGAAAACTGACTCTGGGCTGGAGAGATGGCTCAGTGGTTAAGAGCATTGTCTGCTCTTCCAAAGGTCCTGAGTTCAATTCCCGGCAACCACATGGTGGCTCACAACCATCTGTAATGAGGTCTGGTGCCCTCTTCTGGCCTGCAGACATACACACAGAATATTGTATACATAATAAATAAATATTAAAAAAAAAATCTGACTCTCCTTTCCCTAGAACCCATCAACTCAATAGTGAGGAATGACCTAATCCTGACAATATTGTTATTGTATCAGCATCTAAAATAGGTAATTGAAGGGGCGTGGTCAATCGATAATTAACCAGACCAACTCAATACAAAAGATTTAGCTTTTAATAAAAGGGGAAAAACTTACAAGACCAGAGATCCCGCGAACACCAGAGGAGCCGGGAACCAAAGAGAGGAAGTGGCAAGGCACTTCGATATTTTACTTTTTTTGTAGGGTCGGGGGGGGGGGGGGGATACACCTTAAGCAGAATGTGATTGGCTGAGATTCCCCATCAGATATTTACCCATCACTCAGAGTTTATCACCAGGGAAGCAGAACCTTTTTTTTTTTTTTCCCCCTTTTTGTTTTTTGAGGCAGGGTTTTTCTGTAGCTTTGACCGTCCTGGAACTAGCTCTGTAGACCAGACTGGCCTCCAACTCACAGAGCTCAGCATGCCCTCTGGGGATTAAAGGTGTGTGCCACCGCCTTCTGGCCAGAGCTTATTTTTAAATTCAGATTTAAACTACATTTTTGGAACTCAACTAGAGATTGAACAGCCTATCCCGGAAAAGTCCAGAAGGTTTAATGAACTGTGGGTAATGTAGTTTTGACATGTGAAACCTCCAAGGAGAAAGCAAGTAGGAGAGGAGGCAGTTGGGATGCTCAGAAACACCTTTTGTGAAAAGTACCGATTTCCTGGGACAACCAGAATTGTCAGTGGAATTGTCACTTGAATACTTTCCATCTTCTAAACCAGGATTTTTTTCTTTATTAGATAGAGTGATTGATTTCTCAGGCTCCAGAATTTGTGTTATTAGTATTCATGCATATATTTGTTTACTCTTGGTGTTAATGCTTTATTTGCTAAGGAAATTAATTGCCATGGAAATAGAATGGGAGATGTGTAAATGTGTTGAGTGGTTTATAATTTGATTATTTGAATGGGTAGATATTTGAGTGACATCTTTCAACATGTACCTTAGCACTGAAGTCACAAATAAACTAAGTTTTGTCTCTGTTTAATAAATATTAGCTCAAAAAAGTAGATTGCTTATTAAGTTTAGTTTAAGGAAGATTAAGATTAGTTTAAGGAAGCATGCTGGAAGGAAATTGTGAACCACGTACATAGTCAATAGGTAATAGTCTCCTTCTGAATATTTTTTCTGATTTTTCTGAATTAGTTTTTTGTATTCAAGAATTCCAACCTATAAAGTAAATCCCGGCTATAATATTTATAGCTATCATCTTCTCACTACAAACTTTTGTCCTTTTCCTCTCAATTTTCTTTCTACCTAGTTGATTAGAAAAAACAGATGCTTACATCGGAGTCTGAGATTAGATGCCTGAAGTTTTAATCAGTGCTTCCTGTGGCTGCGTGTGCTAGTCAAGGGTCTGAAGGCCACTGATAACCAGCAAAGGTCTCTCTTAGAGACTAAGGGAAAAAAATGCAGGGCTTGCGCTCTAGCTCAGTGGGCCAAGTGATCGCCTAGCATATGGAAATCATATACAAAAGTTTGATCCCCAGACCTGAAAAGAGAGACAACCTCATGAAAGATGATTGCTTACTTGAAAAGATGAAAAAAACTAGATGAAAGTTTTCAAGCCTGACTTTCCTACAAGGAATTTTTGTTGTCATTGTTAAGTGGAGTGTGGTGGCACACGCCTTTGATCCTAGCACTCAGTTGGCTGAGGCAGGAAAATTGCTTCAATGCTTAAACCTGGGCTCTGTAGTGAGTAATCAGCCCAGGTTAGAACAACATAGCAAGACTGTCTCCAACAATTTACTACTTAAATAAATATAAAATAAATAAATCGAGGGACCAGTGGGGTGGCTCAGTGAGTAGAGATACTTGATGCATTGGATTTCCCATAACCCACCTGGTAGAGGGGAGAACCAGTTCCTGAAAATTGTCCTGACAGTCACACGCATACTGTGGCAGGCATGCCCAAACAATAAGTAAGTAGTTCATCTTTGCAATAAAGAAATATAAAAGTAATTGAGAGGGGCAAAGGGCATAATATCTCTTTGTGGCTCATGTTATGAATTCTTATTTATTCTGAACATTTCTTTTATGTGCATAGTAGAGTGATACTTTCCTACTTATTAAAGTTCCTAAAGGTCTTGAAAGAATGTGTGGAAAACTTCTAGTTTTGATTTAATTTAAACGTTAGAGGTTGGCCACTTTACCTTTTATGTCAGTCATGTTGAGAATTATCAAGAGTTGGTTATTCTTTCAGCACTATATTCTGAATTTCTTTTTGCTAAATTCAAAGTTCTATTGTGTTTAAAATAGCTGATAGGTGAGCAGCTGCATATTTTTTACCTTTGATGTACTGTCTGAGAGTGTATTGTAAAGTTTGTAAATGTGTTCTTCCTCTTTTATGCAGGACCAGTGGCTGTAGGACAATTTCACCGGTCATTCCGGCGAGATAATTTGTCTCCTTATTCCTACGTATCAACTTCATCCCACAACCACAGCACGTTCCCTCTGAAAGGTTTAGATCGAACCCCGATTCCTCCTAGAACATGGCAGAACTCCCTTGGAATGCATCCTGGACAAGTGGAGACATCTCCCACTTTCTCAGATAAGGGGGTTCCATTTCCTGTACTGCAGAGATTTCCAACTGAGGTTACTTACACGCTTCAGCCCAGCGCCACATCTGTACATGTTCAACAAGGTCCTCAAACAATGGTCAGCTCCTCCCAAAAATACAGTAACTACACACCCTCGGCGCAGTACTCCCAAGCCTACTACCCGACAGGTAGGAGACATTCAAGTTCACTAGCTTCTATAAAGGTAGCTTATAAGAACATTTATATTTTTGTAGTATTTCAGTCTTTGTGTGCTTAATAAATAGGAATATGCATTTTAAAAATGGCATGACTTCTCAACCAGGCATATTATTAAACAATATATAATGATTAGGGACTGGAGAGATGGTTCAGTGGTTAAAAGAGTATATTGTTCTTGCAGAGAACCCTGGCACACATGTCAGGAGGCTCACAACCATCTTTAACTTTAGCTCCAGGGGATCCAATACCTCTGGCTTCACTAGCACCTGCACTCATGTGTACATATCTCACCCCTACATACACCTAATTAAAAAAAATAAATGTTACATATATGGTACATATATAAAGTTTCATCTGTTCTTAAAGATTTTGAGAATCTGTTACCACATAAAAGTGTATATTTTCAGTGAAATGAAAATTCTATATCTACAAAGTGTATTCTAACTCTGAGATTAAGATTCAGTGCCCTGGGAGGCTGGAGAGAGGCTCAGAGGTTAAGAACACTGACTCAGGTCCAATTCCCAGCACCCACATGACAGCTCACAACTGTCTGGGACTTGAGTTCCAGGGAATCTGACATATACAGACAAAACACCAAGACACACCAAACACACAGAGATTCAGTGCCCTGGAACCTTACTTCCTTTCTACCATTGTTGTCATGTTTCATTAAGTTTGTCTTTAAGGTATGTTTTTTATTTCACAAGTGAAATTTCTCATAATCAAATCATTTTAGTATTTCAGTAATGAAGTTTAATAAGAACACATACTCCTATGTTTCTCTATGTAACGTAGGGTTTCTCTATGTAACAGTCCTGGTTGTCCTGGAACTAACTCTTGTAGACCAGGCTGGCCTTGAACTCACAGAGATCCGCCTGCCTCTGCCACCCAAGTGCTGGACTAAAGGCATGCACCACCACTGCCAGGCTATATGCTTTTGTAGATGGAAGTTAGATGGAAGTTTCTGTTCTGCCCAGTTCTGCAGCCATTCAGTCCCAAGGAAACACACAGACACTTATATTAATTATAAACTGTTTGGCCTCTTAGCTCAGGCTTATTATTAACCAGCTCTTATCTATGTTTAGCCACATGGTTTGGTACATTTTCTCAGTAAGGCATTCTCATCTTGTTTCCTCTACATCTGGCTGGTGACTGCGCCTCTGCCTTTCCTCTTCCCAGAATTCTCCTAGTCTGGTCATCCTGTTTAGACTCCCTGCCTGGCTACTTGCCAATCAGCATTTTATTAATACAAGTGACAAATCTTGCCAGGCAGCAGTGGCGCATGCCTTTAATCCCAGCACTTGGGAGGCAGAGACAGGTGGATCTCTGTGAGTTCGAGGCTAACCTGGTCTACAAGAGCTAGTTCCAGGACAGGCTCTAAAGCTACAGAGAAACCCTATATCGAAAAACGAAAACAAAACAAAAAACAAACAAAAAACAACTGACAAATCTTTACAGTTGTACAAGAGCATAATCCCATAGCATACTTTCCTGTTCTTAAAACACTAAAGACTCAAAAGCTTCTTGTGTGTCTGGAGACAGGTCTCAGCAGTTAAGAGCATTGGCTGTTCTTGAAGGGTACTTAGGTTCAATTCCTAGAACCCACATGGTGATTGACAAACATTCGTAACTCCATTTCCAGATAATCTAACACCTTCTTCTGACTGCCACAGGCACCAAGCATGCATATGGTACATACACATACATGAAGACAAAATATTCATACATATTGAAATAAATAAACCTTTAAAAAAGCTTCTTGGGAGTTAAATTTTAGATTGTGCAGGAAAATGTAGACATGTACCCTGATCTTTCCAACTTGGAGCATTGGAGGCATATTCTTATGGAACATTAGACATGGCGGCTTGAGTGCTATGTTCCTGTAACCTGAAGGAACAGGTGAATATAATATGGAAGTTTTTTAATTGGAAAATACTTGGAGTTCTAAGCAATCTTTAAAACTCTTAGATGAGAACCACTTATATATTCCTCATTAGAAAATGTTACAAGTAGTTACTACTATTCAATCTTTACAGAAATAGTATTTGTCAAGTTACTGATATGGGGTGTTATTAAAAATACTTTATTTTCGAGCTGGGCAGTGGTGGCGCACACCTTTAATCCCAGCATTCAGCAGGCAGGTGGATCTCTGTAAGTTCGAGGCCAGCCTGGTCTACAGAGCAAATTCCAGGACAGGTTCCAAAAAGCTTAGAAGAGAAACCCAGTCTTAAAAAACAAACAAATAAACAAAACCTTTTCTTTTCAGCTGGGTATGAATGGTGCCTACCTTTAATCCCAGAATGGGGAAGCAGAGGTGGATCTCTGTGAGTTTGAAGCCAGCCTGGTCTACAGAGTAGACCAGTAGGGCTACACAGAGAAACCCTGTCTCAAGAAACCAAAACCCAAAAAAGCAAACAAAACTTTACTTGTGAACTTGTAAATTAATACTTGTCTGCAAGAGTTCAAGGCAAGTGTGTAGAAGGAAACATTAAGAGCAAGGAGGGTGTGGGGCTGTGGCTTAATGATGCCATTCTTGCCTAGTGCACACCGGGCCCAAGCTCCATGCCAGCACTGAAGAGCAGAGAGAGCAGCACAGATAAGAGCTCCTGTCGTCTGGGATAGTTTATGGCACAGCGTGTTGTTTGCATTTTGTTTTGTCAGCATTTAACAAGGATAATTTGAAATGACTATAAAGTTTCTAAAATTATGAGAATGCTAAACACAAAATCTTATGACAGTTTCTACACTTGCTCTTAGCCAAAAGGCTGGCTGAGCAATACTTGTGATGGCTTTGAGTACATGACGTGAATTGAGTGAGAGTCTTTGCACACTCTGCAGTGCTGTTGCATAAGTAGAGTTGTATTGTTAAAGATGAGCTGTCTTCTCTGGAAATGAGAATTTCATAAAAACTGCTATGCAATTACCTAACCTCTCCAGTAAGGTGAAAGATACAAAATGCTAAGCGATATAGTCGCTATTTACTAAAGCGCCTATTAACAGCATTGTGAACACCCTTCTCAAAGCTAGATCAGCTCTTAGTGCTGAAAGACAAGACTACCTCTACGACATTCGCGTAGGTCACAACAAAAAGACTTAACTGAAGAGTTACAGAATTCCAGTTCCTTCAAAACAAACTCTTATCATCTGAGGCTCAGATAAAATTTTAATAAGAATACTAAACTTCTAAAAATTAGTTTAGAAGAGATTAAAAATTAGTTTGGAGAGATGTAGTGCCCTCTCTTAATTGTCTGCCTTTTAACCCACAGCTGTCCTAGTCAGCAACTGCAACTCTGCCGCTACCAGCAGCCGCTAGGATGCAGGAGCTTCGGCCTGAAGAAATTCTGTTCCCTCAAACACCTACTCTTTCAAAACTACTAAGAGAACGTATCTAAATCTCTGTCCCACTAAAGAATTCAAGATTTGCCAGGAAGTGGTGGCTCAAACCTTTAATCCCAGCACTCAGGAGGTAGAGGCAGGCGGATCTCTGTGAGTTCGAGGCCAGCTTGGTCTACAAGAGCTAGTTATAGGACAAGCTCCAAAGCCACAGAGATACCCTGTCTCAAAAAACCAAAAGAAAAAAAGAATTCAAGATTCAAGGCTGAAGGTAGAATTGTGCCTCCCAGAGAGGCTCAATAACAAACAGCTCACCTAGCTTGCCTCCTCCCATCTCCCAAGAAGTTCTTTTTCTTGCTCTTCTTTATAAATCCTTCTCCACCTGGCTCCTCCCTACTACTTCCTGCCAGCTAGTTGCTGATGCAGCCTCTAGACCACAGGTGAATTTATTTAATCAAACAATCTTTGCATCATTAAACAAATGTTCCAGAGCATAAACAAAAGTAACACACCTTAAAATAATATTTTACAACAGAGCTGGCTTGATGGTTAAGAGCACTGACTGCTCTTGCAGAGGACCTGGGTTCAGTTCCCAACATCTGCATGGTGGCTCACAGTCATTTACAGCTGCAAGTCCAAGAGTTCTGGTGCTCTTTTCTGATTTTTCTGCCCTTTTATGAGCTGGAGGCGGGGCAGGGGAAGCTGCAAGTTTTTAACCCTAACACTCAGGAGGCAGAGGCAGTAAGATCTCTGAGTTCAAGACCAGCCTGGTCTACATAGTGAGCTCCAGGACAGCCAGAGCTGTATAGTAAGACTCTATTTCTAAATAAATAAATAAAATAATTAGATTTGGCCTCTTTAAATAGTATGACTACCAAAATTCTATAAATGATTTTTATAGTAAAGCTAGGAACTAAAAAAAAAAATGCAATCAGGCTAACAAAATGATCATCAGAATCTTGTATTTGTCACCCTTTGAAGCGCTCATTTTCCTTGCCTAGAATATTTTTACATCCTAATTCCTCAAAGACAAATTGTTGGGTCTGATGATAGTTGATTCTATCTGTTACTTTTAGTGTGATACTATAATCTCCCTCTTTTGTAGAAAACGTTCATTTTAGGCCTTTTAATTTCACTCATTTTTACTATGTATTTAAATATACTTCATTCATCCATATTTACTTATCAAGTAAATTTAATTTCACTCATTTTTACTATGTATTTAAATATACTTCATTCATCCATATTTACTTATCAAGTTCTGTGTTACGGAATTTTTTTTCTTGACTAACATGCTGATTGGCTCAGTATAAACTTTGCCTTCTTTTCAAAATCATTTCTTTCCTTTCTGTGTGTATGTGTATGGTGTTTGTGTGTATGTGTTCACATGTGTTGTGAATATGTGCCTGTGGAGAACAAAGGTTGGGGGTTTTCCTTGATCATTCTCCACTTTATTTCCTGAGGCAGGGTTTCTCCGTAGCTGGCTAGTATATATAGATAGTCAGCATTCCCAGGGATCTTCTGCTTCTGCCTCCTGACTGTGTGGCTTGTATGTAGGACTGAAGAGCCACACTCCAGTCCTGATCTTCATGCTCATGCTGAAAGTACTTCACCCACTGAGCCTTCTCTTCAGCCC